TTTGAAGCAAATTAAACTCGCGAGAGCAAGCGCGGAGCGAGCCGCGGGGGTTTGCCGCGGCTCGCTCCGCACGCCCCGCTCTGGGCCCTGTGGCCGGCCAAAGGAGGACGGGAGACGCTTGGTGCGATGGTTGCGATGGGCGCGATTGGGCGCGATGGGCGCGACGGGGAATCTTCCCGGAGGCTGGGGGCGAGGACTCCCGACCGCCTGCTGCCGCGAGTCCAAAGTCGACCTGTCCCACGATAAAAACCGCCCGCGGGCGGAGCGGCGGTGCCGCCCGGTTTTTGCGGCACGCGTGCCGTGCGGGCTTCCCCGGTTCCGCCGCCGCCACTCGGGGTTGTCGCGTCTCGCCGGGATGCCCCCCCCCCTCCCCACCGCCCCCCCGCGCTTGTCCCGCGTGCGGAGCGCGGCGGCGGCGTTCAACTCACAGGCGGGCGGGCCGGCGGGGGGGCGAGGGGGCGAGGAGAGCGACGGAGTGGCAGCCGAGAGGAGAATTTATTTTCACGCGCAATTTTATTTCTTAAACGCGATCCCGCGCTGCCGGGGGCAGAACGGAGGCAGCAGGCCGGGGGGGGGGGGGGGCGTTTTGAGGAACTTGCAGCCGTGGGGTCGAAGCGGCGGTGACCTCGTTGACCCCAAATCCGGCGGTGGCGACCGTCGCGCCCCCGCTTGGGTTCTCCGCTCAGGAGCTGTCCCCGTCGCGTCTGTCCCCGTCGCGTCTGTCCCCGTAGCGTCTGTCCCCGTAGCGTCTGTCCCCGTAGCGTCTGTCCCCGTCGCGTCTGTCCCCCTCGACTTCGCTACATTCGCTGCACGAGCCCAATTCGGCGTGCCTGCCTTTTTTGTGCTTGTTTCACTCTCCCGCGTATTGTTGTATTTCACGAGATTACCGGTGGTGCAGAGAGCAGGATGTTGACCGCCCCGAGTACTAATCCAGGCCCGTTTAAGACGAAGCGCGGCGCGGCGCGTCTGGAGGGAGCCGCGGGAACGAGCGTTGTTGACGGCCGCCGCGAGAGGCGGAGGAGGAGGGGGGGCCGCCGCCTCTGTGGTGTGGTTGGCTTCGCAGCGTCTCTGCTCGGCTCCTCACCCGGCTCCTGGCTTTGCCCCGTGGTTCGCTTCGCTCGGCACCGTCGGGCCACCACTCGCCCAAGCCGTTCAACGGCCAGCAACAAAGAGCATTGATCAAAGTTGCAACGGACGGGAGCGTCAACGCGTTTCTGAAATTGAACCGGAGTGTTGTTGTGGTTGGGAGACATTGGGGGGGGGGGGTGGTGGGGAAGAGACGATGACGATGATGGAAGGAGGAAATTCCAAGGTGGAGAAGTTCGAGAGAAGTGTGGTAACCAGTGGTGGGTAGGTGGATGGGCAGGCGGGCGGGCGAGTGGGAGCAGTAGTGCGGTGGTTCACGCTCTGTGCTACAAATCCGCACCTCCGATGAGCACGGTTGGCTATGCACGGTGAGAAAGAAGTTCAGCATATGTACGTGCAACCTGGTGAGCCAAGTTCGAGTCCCGCTCATGGGTAAGGGAGGAGTGGCGGGGGATGGGGGAGGGGCATAGGGATCCGCGTACCCAGGGACCGATGGCCGTACCAACGGTACTGTACAGCACGCGTACCGTGGTTCTCGTGCGTTGTCCTGCGCGCCACACTTACACCACACTTACACCACGCGTACACCACACTTACACCACACTTACACCACACACCACGCTTACACCACACTTACACCACACTTACACCACGCGTACACCACACTTACACCACACTTACACCACGCGTACACCACACTTACACCACGTGTACACCACACTTACACCACGCGTACACCACACTTACACCACACTTACACCACGCGTACACCACGCGTACACCACGCGTACACCACGCGTACACCACGCGTACACCACGCGTACACCACACGTACACCACGTGTACACCACGCTTACACCACACTTACACCACGCGTACACCACGCGTACACCACGCTTACACCACGCGTACACCACGCGTACACCACACTTACACCACGCGTACACCACGCATACACCACGCGTACACCACGCTTACACCACACTTACACCACGCGTACACCACGCGTACACCACACTTACACCACGCGTACACCACGCATACACCACGCGTACACCACGCTTACACCACACTTACACCACGCGTACACCACGCGTACACCACACTTACACCACGCGTACACCACGCGTACACCACGCGTACACCACGCGTACACCACGCGTACACCACACTTACACCACACTTACACCACGCGTACACCACGCGTACACCACACTTACACCACGTGTACACCACACTTACACCACGTGTACACCACACTTACACCACGTGTACACCACACACCACGCTTACACCACGCTTACACCACACACCACGCTTATACCACACTTACACCACGCGTACACCACACACCACGCGTACACCACACACCACGTGTACACCACACTTACACCACACTTACACCATACTTACACCACACACCACACTTACACCACGCGTACACCACACACCACGCGTACACCACGCGTACACCAGCATGCGTGAGACGTGCATACGCCGCACAGGGCCGCGTTGTGACCTTAAACGCCTCTGCGCTGAGAGGTCGCGGCAGGCCGCGCGGGGTCGGAGGTTAACGAGCGTGGCCGCAGCGAACACGACGGGGCCGCACTGTCCCATCGCGAGCGAGCCAGGAGGAGCCAGGTGTGAGCCAGGTGCGAGCCAGGAGGGAGCCAGGTGTGAGCCAGGTGAGAGCCAGGTGTGAGCCAGGTGGGAGCCAGGTGGGAGCCAGGTGTGACACAGGTGTGAGCCAGGTGGGAGCCAGGTGTGACACAGGTGAGAGCCAGGAGGGAGCCAGGTGTGAGCCAGGTGTGAGCCAGGAGGGAGCCAGGAGGGAGCCAGGTGTGAGCCAGGTGGGAGCCAGGTGAGAGCCAGGTGGGAGCCAGGTGCGAGCCAGGTGTGAGCCAGGTGAGAGCCAGGAGGGAGCCAGGAGGGAGCCAGGAGGGAGCCAGGTGTGAGCCAGGAGGGAGCCAGGTGTCAGCCAGGAGGAGCCAGGTGGGAGCCAGGTGTGACACAGGAGGGAGCCAGGAGGGAGCCAGGTGTGAGCCAGGAGGGAGCCAGGAGGGAGCCAGGTGTGAGCCAGGTGGGAGCCAGGTGAGAGCCAGGTGTGAGCCAGGAGGGAGCCAGGAGGGAGCCAGGTGTGACACAGGTGTGAGCCAGGTGTGACACAGGTGAGAGCCAGGTGGGAGCCAGGTGTGACACAGGTGTGAGCCAGGTGGGAGCCAGGTGTGACACAGGTGTGAGCCAGGTGTGACACAGGTGAGAGCCAGGTGTGAGCCAGGTGTGAGCCAGGAGGGAGCCAGGAGGGAGCCAGGTGTGAGCCAGGTGTGAGCCAGGAGGGAGCCAGGTGGGAGCCAGGTGGGAGCCAGGTGAGAGCCAGGTGAGAGCCAGGTGTGAGCCAGGTGGGAGCCAGGTGAGAGCCAGGTGTGAGCCAGGAGGGAGCCAGGTGCGAGCCAGGTGAGAGCCAGGTGTGAGCCAGGTGGGAGCGCCTCTCAGTGGGGCCCAGGGAGAGGCGGAGAGGCGGAGTGAACGGAGAGCAGAGAGGGATCATGTGGGGGGGGGGGGGGGTGGCTGTCGGGAGCTGAGCGCTGTGACGCACACACTCGCGAACACACTCGCTCGCTCACACAAAAACAGATCCCCCATATAGCCTTAACAATCTGTAGGGGCAAGTGCTGTTAGCGAGCAACTATGAAGGCTGGAACGTACACGAGGGAGTGGGTGGCCAACACCACGCCCGGCCGCCTTTGTCTCCCTAGCGGCGATGGTACTCATTTGAGGCTGAGTCGACCTAGGGGAGGCCCAGGACCGGTTCAGATAATCGTCACTGGTGTTGGCCGTGGGCGGGAATCGAACCTGGGTCGCCAGGTTCATAGCGCATCGCGCTCACCGCTAACACACTCGCACTCTCGCTCGCACACACACACTCACATCCCCTTAAACTTACTAAAGCATACACACTCACACTCTCTCGTACGCATGCATACAGACACAACCCTGTAAATCAGGGGTGGGGAACGTCCGGCCCACAGGCCGTATGAGGCCCACAGGCCGTATGAGGCCCACGGGCCGTATGAGGCCCGAGAAATCATTTGGTCTCTGGCCCTGCCAAGGCAACCGCAGGCGGGACTCGAAATTCAACAAATCTAGGAGAGCAAACCTGGAAAAGCAGTTGCGAGTAACAACATCGTCAACACCAGCTAACATCGTCAACACCAGCTAACATCGTCAATACCAGCTAACATCGTCAATACCAGCTAACATCATCAACACCCGCTAACATCATCAATACCAGCTAACATCATCAATACCAGCTAACATCATCAATACCAGCTAACATCGTCAATACCAGCTAACATCATCAACACCCGCTAACATCATCAATACCAGCTAACATCATCAACACCCGCTAACATCATCAATACCAGCTAACATCATCAATACCAGCTAACATCGTCAATACCAGCTAACATCATCAACACCCGCTAACATCATCAATACCAGCTAACATCATCAATACCAGCTAACATCATCAATACCAGCTAACATCATCAATACCAGCTAACATCATCAATACCAGCTAACATCATCAACGCCAGCTAACATCGTCAACGCCAGCTAACATCATCAATACCAGCTAACATCATCAACGCCAGCTAACATCGTCAACGCCAGCTAACATCGTCAACGCCAGCTAACATCGTCAACACCAGCTAACATCGTCAATACCAGCTAACATCGTCAATACCAGCTAACATCGTCAACACCACCTAACATCATCAACACCAGCCAACATCATCAACACCAGCCAACATCATCAACACCAGCCAACATCATCAATACCAGCCAACATCAATACCAGCCAACATCATCAATACCAGCCAACATCATCAATACCAGCTAACATCATCAATACCAGCTAACATCGTCAATACCAGCTAACATCGTCAATACCAGCTAACATCATCAACACCAGCTAACATCATCAACACCAGCTAACATCATCAATACCAGCTAACATCGTCAATAGCCAGCCAACATCATCAACACCAGCTAACATCATCAATACCAGCTAACAACATCAATACCAGCCAACATCATCAACACCAGCTAACATCGTCAATACCAGCTAACATCATCAACACCAGCTAACATCATCAATACCAGCTAACATCATCAACACCAGCTAACATCATCAATACCAGCTAACATCGTCAACACCAGCTAACAACATCAATACCAGCTAACATCATCAATACCAGCTAACATCATCAATACCAGCTAACATCATCAACACCAGCTAACAACATCAACACCAGCTAACATCATCAATACCAGCTAACATCATCAATACCAGCTAACATCATCAATACCAGCTAACATCATCAATACCAGCTAACATCGTCAACACCAGCTAACATCATCAACACCAGCTAACATCATCAATACCAGCTAACATCATCAATACCAGCTAACATCGTCAATACCAGCTAACATCATCAATACCAGCTAACATCAACACCAGCTAACATCATCAATACCAGCTAACATCGTCAATACCAGCTAACATCATCAATACCAGCTAACATCATCAACACCAGCTAACAACATCAACACCAGCTAACATCATCAATACCAGCTAACATCATCAATACCAGCTAACATCATCAATACCAGCTAACATCATCAATACCAGCTAACATCATCAACACCAGCTAACATCATCAATACCAGCTAACATCGTCAATACCAGCTAACATCGTCAATACCAGCTAACATCGTCAACACCAACTAACATCATCAATACCAGCTAACATCATCAACACCAGCTAACATCATCAATACCAGCTAACATCGTCAATACCAGCTAACATCGTCAACACCAGCTAACATCATCAATACCAGCTAACATCGTCAACACCAGCTAACATCGTCAATACCAGCTAACATCGTCAATACCAGCTAACATCGTCAACACCAGCTAACATCATCACCACGCCTCGCCAAAGATAAGCAGTTCCAGCCCATCGCATTAGGGGCGAGTTAATTAAATGTTTGACCAAATATAACGGGCTAATTTTTAAGTTGATATTTTTGTATGGCCCGCGAATGATGTTATATAAATATCCAAATGGCCCTTGGCAGAAAACAGGTTCCCCACCCCTGCTGTAAAGCCAAGGTGCTGTTCGTGAGCACCTATGGTTTCCCAGTGCCGGTATTTACATACCACACCAGGTACTCATTCATGTTAAAGTCTAACACACATTAACTCACGCCCACCCTCCCTCCCTACTGAACAAAAGACAGGGACCCCCCATATAGCCTCAAATAAACTGTTCGTGCAACTGCTCTTCGCGAGCACCTGTGAAGGCCGGAACGGCGGTGGTGTGGCCCTGCCCGGTCAACTTTGTCTCCGGAGCACTGATGCTGTTTGCTCACGGTGGTAGGTACTCATTCAAGGCTGAGATGACCCTAGGGTATGTTCACACGAACATTTAAATAGGCAGGGGTACGCACACACACATACACACTACACACCACTCAAACACACACACACGTCACCACAGTACACAGATTCACACAGGGACAGACAGACACAACAACAACCGCCATTCGCCACTAAGTGGTGGTGACGTCACCACGACACTTGTGCCAGGCTATGTGCAGCTGGAGGCCACGTGAAGTGTCGAACGCCCGCTGGCAGGAGGTCACGGGGCAGACCCAGATGCCACAGGTCGACTGACTGAGACGACTGGCTGATGCACCACCTGTGCCCCCTACTGTGCCAACTTGCTTTAGCCACCCGGCGCTCTGTTCGTTGTTGTGAGCATCGCTCCTCCGCCAACTGCCCAGTAGCGTCCTTTACGAGCCTCCTTCACAGAGGCCGATCTTGACACCGCTGGTACCAGTCATCGGCAAGTACATTCAGCTCCACGTCCTCCTGTACCACATCACTCCATCTCTTCTCTAGCCCGTGCCATGCCCGTTTAGCCCCTTCGATCCAGCCGAACAAAAGCTGTTTAGGCATCTGGTAGCTGGGCATGCGGGCTACATGACCCAGCCAACGCAGTCTTGCCTGCCGGAGCAGCTCACCGATGGGACTTTGTCCACATCTTTCAAGGATTTGTGAGCTCCTCACAAAATCCAGCCTGGTTAAACCCAGGATGGATCGTAGGCAGGCCAGCCTAAATGTTTCTAACCGGCGAAGCTGTTCCATTAGGGGTGTTCACATTTCGCAAGCGTAGAGAAGGGAGGGAATGACCGTGGCCGAGAAGACCCAAAGCTTCGTGCGGAGTGATAGACCAGGTAGCTTCCACACAGCGTTACGCAACTGATGAAAAGATAATGCCGCTCGACTGATTCGGAGTGAGACCTCTGCTGTTAAACCCGAGCCGGTCATGAGCACACTGCCCAGGTATGGGAAACTCTCCACTCTCTCCACAACTGCCCCATCACCGATTGGGAGTTGTGGGGGTGGAGTGCCCAATGGTACAAAATACTTAGGCAGGTGCTTCGTTTTGGTGGGGCTGATGGTAAGGCCCCACCTCTTAGTGGCACACTCCAGTTTCAGCAGCAGCGCCTCCAACTCCTCCTCTGAGTGAGCCGCAATTACCAGGTCATCGGCATACATAACAGGGTTGAGCAATAGGGAGCCATCCCTTGATCGCACCCGGGCATCGAGCAGCCTCCCATTGTATCTGTACCAGATGGAAATTCCTCCGGTACAGCTACTGAAGGCTTCACGAACTACGTGGTCGAAATAGATGTTAAATAATGTTGGAGCCAGAGGACATCCCTGTCACACCCCAAGGTGAACAGGGAATGGCTCCAACTCCCGGCCGCGCAGTTTTTTCCCGGGGCCCGCTCACCATCATGAAGGTCCTTAATGATCGTGACACAAACACACACATTCACACACACACATTCACATAGCCACCCACGCACATTCACAGACACACACAAAGATCCCTCGTGTAACCTTTAACAGACAATTGAGACAAGTGCTGTTAGCGAGCGCCTATGAAGGCCGGCACGGCACACGAGGGGGTGGGGTGAGCAACACCACGCCCGGCCGCCTTCACTCACCTACCCACCCACCCACCCACTGACCACACTGACGGTCACAACAACTCATCCACCCACCGCACCGCAGGTCAGCTCACTCTTCTTCCCGCTTGTTCCCTCGCGCCGCTCCGCTTGGGGATTCCCATCACCGACCCTCTTCCCCCCCCCCCCCCCCCCAAGCTCTTCTCGCTATCGCCCGTGACTCAAATCACGCGCCCTGCCGTTCTGAGGCTTTTGGGCCTGTGCCTCGTCATCGCTGCTAATAACTTGGCGCCGTCGGTGCTCGCGCCCAGCTCGTGGTGCAGGGCGATTGGCAGCGACGTCGCCGGCGTAACCCCGATTGAGCAATCGGCGGTGTCGTTCTTCACGAAGCTTTGACCGGCGTTAGCCAGGGCGTCCGGCCGTGTTCGAACCGCGTACGGGCGCAGCAAGCGGCGAACTCGCCTCCGCCGGGCAGCGTCGCGACAACCTCCCTCCCTCCACCCCCCCCCCGTCCATCCCTCCGTTGCCCCTTCACTCCCTCCGCGCTACGTGCAGGTGATCTTCCGGGCCGTGACCCCGTCGCGACCCCTGGATGACCCGTTCGGCCCCGGTGCCCGCCGGCGCCTCGGCGTCACCAACCTGCGGCTGCGCCTGCTCAGGCGGCAGGAGTGCCGGCGCTGCCCGGCGCCGCCGTCCCGCGTCGCCGGTGGCGGCGAGGGCGCCGACTCGAGCCCCGGTCACTTTGCCGTCTACGACCTGATCCTGCGCGGGAGCTGCCTGTGCCACGGCCACGCGGAGCGCTGCGAGCCGGCACCCGGCACCGGCACCGGCAGCGGCAGCGGCAGCAGCGGCAGCCTCGTCTCCGTGAGTGTGGAGACGCCTTGCGTGTGCGAGTGTGTGTGTGTGAGTGTGTGTGTGTGCGAGTGTGAGTGTGTGTGTGTGAGTGTGTGTGCGGAGCGATAGTGTAGCGGTTAGCGCGCTGCGCTATGAACCTGGCGACCCGGGTTCGATTCCCGCTCACGGCCAACACCAGTGACGATTATCTGAACCGGTCCCGGGCCTCCCCTAGGTCGACTCAGCCTCAAATGAGTACCTGGTACGGTGTGTAAACATCGCGACTGGGGAGACAAAGGCGGTCGGGCGTGGTGCTGGCCACCCACCCCCTCGTGTACCGTTCCGGCCTTCATAGGTGCTCGCTAACAGCACTTGCCCCTACAGTCTGTTAAGGCTATACGGGGGATCTTTGTCTTTGTTTTGTGCGAGTGTGTGTGACTGCACGCGAGTGGTGCGAGTGTGTGTGTGCGAGTGCGCGAGTGTGTGCGCGTGTGAGTGTGTGTGTGAGTGTGTGTGAGTGTGTGTGAGTGTGTGAGTGTGTGTGTGAGTGTGTGTGTGTGTGAAAGTGCGCGAGTGTGTGCGCGTGTGAGTGTGTGTGCGAGTGTGTGTGTGCGAGTGTGTGTGCAAGTGTGTGTGAGTGTGTGTGAGTGTGTGTGCGAGTGTGTGTGACTGCACGCGAGTGGTGCGAGTGTGTGTGAGTGTGTGTGCGAGTGTGTGTGAGTGTACAAGCGCGCGCGAGTGGTGCGAGTGTGTGTGTGTTCGAGAGTGTGTGTGTGAGTGTGTGCGAGTGCGCGTGAGTGTGCGAGTGCGTGAGACGCGTGTGTGAGCGCAGCCCAGCGTGTGTGTGTGTCCGTGGTGCAGGTGCACGGCCGCTGTGTGTGCCACCACCACACGGAGGGGCAGCACTGCGAGCGCTGCCGCCCCATCTACAACGACCGGCCCTGGCAGCCCGGCAATGGCCGGACCGGGGAGCCCAACGAGTGCCAGAGTACGCACACACACGCAGACATGCACACACACGCACACACACGCACACATGCACACACACGTGTACATCTGCTGTATTGTCTGTGGCTACATCTTCTATTCGGACAGGGCCTCAGCGGTAGAGCGAGCGGCTCATAAGGGTTGTGAGTTCACATCCTAGTTGAGAGTTAACTCGGCCCTCCCTCCCTCCCTCCCTCCCACCCTCCCTCCCTCCCTCCCTCCCTCCCTCCCTCCCTCCCTCCCTCCCCCCCCATCTCCCCTCCCCCCCCCGTCCCCGCAGAGTGCCACTGTAACGGCCATGCGGACAGCTGCCACCTGGACCGCACGCTGTGGGAGGCATCTGGGAACCGCAGCGGCGGCGTGTGCGACGGCTGTCGCCACCACACCGAGGGGCGGCACTGCCACCGCTGCAAGCCGGGTTTCTACCGGCACCCGGCGGAGAGCGGCACCTCCCCGCGCACGTGCCGAGGCACGGCACGCCGTCACCGCCGTCACCGCCGTCACCGCCGTCACCGCCATCACCGCCGTCACCGCCGTCACCGCCGTCACCTCTGCGCAATCACCTTCGTCGGTCTCTCTTCTTCGCGTGGACGCTGACGGCCTCGAGGCCGGGCGGCGGACTTCTCCCGCTCCTTCCTCTTTCTGTCTTCTTATTTCTCGCACCTTGAGTGGACCGCGCGCCCGTCCGGGGTGTCAGCCGACGCGTTGTCCACGGGCGAGGCGATCGCTCCACGCAGGCCTCCGCTGCTCTCTGCCAACTCCGGCTGCTCCTCCCATCCTTCCGCCTCCGTTTGGGTTCGGGTTTGGGTCAGGCCTCCTCCTCCTCCTGCGTGGACGGCCACATCCCCTGCGCTAACGCCCCCTCGTTGGTTGAGCAATCGCCCGAATCGCGCCGCTGATTTCACCATTTCAGTTTGAGTTTTTTTTTCTTCGCAACGTAATCGAAGGGCTTGACAAAGTCGGTTTTGTTAGCAAGACGAGATGTTCCATCCTCGAGGGATTTTCCAGGTAAAATATAAAAACACAATGTGGAATTATAGGGTTTTTCCCCTTTTTTCTGGCAACAAAACTGAAACCTTTTTTACAAGGATTCATGTCTGGATTAACCACAATACCTGCAGTCAAAATGCAAACAAAAAAACATACTGTGATACTATATGCATTGTCCTTGAAACTGATTGGTCCACACCAAGTCAAAGCTCAAAAGAAAGCCGTGGTGTGGACCAATCAGTTTTAAGGACAATGCATATATTATCATAGTATGTTTTTTGTTTGCATTTTGACTGCAGGTATTGTGGTTAATGCAGACATGAATCCTTGTAAAAAGGTTTCAGTTTTGTTGCCAGAAAAAAGGGGAAAAACCCTATTATTACATTTTGGTACTGGCAAAGGAGGTCTAATGATGTACCATGTGGAATAGTTTTTTTTTAAATGTTTTCAACAACGTGGTTTTGTTGCTTACTCTCGTTGAGGTTTAAGAAAAGCTTCTGGAGACGGTCCTGGCCCACGGTAGCAGGACAACATTGTTTGAGTTGTTGACGTCCTGTTCTGGACTTGCTACGCCATACAACAGGGCCACCAGTTGGGAACGTTGTAGGCCTCCAGTCTCTTCACGCGATCGTCGTCATCATCATCGTCATCACTATCGTCATCATCACCGTCGCCAAGTCAAGGTTTCTCCATCCTGATATGAGCCTTTCATGCTGCTCACCTCCACTGACGGGTCCTAAACACGTGTTGGAAATTCCACACTCGTGGCGGTTGTGGCGGTTGTGGCGATGGTGGCGGTGATGGCCGTGGTTGCGATGTTGGTAGGTGATTGTTGTGGTGATGGTGGTGTTGGCGGTGGCGGTAATGTTTGTGATCGCGGTGGTGACGTCGGTGGTTGTGGGAGAGCCATGGTGGCGGGGGCTGTGAGAGCCGTTCTCGCGGGCCGAGCGTTGACTGATGTCACGTCACGCGGCGGCATCGTCCGTGGCGACGTCCCGACCGTGACCCCGTGCGACTGAAGCGTCGTGAGCAGCCGGGATAAAGGGTTCCCTCCTCCCCCCCCCTCCTCCACCCGCAGCCTGCGACTGCCACCCGTTGGGCGCGCTCACGAACCAGCGGCAGGCGAGCTGCGACCCCGGCACGGGATACTGCTTCTGCAAGCCCGGCGTGGGGGGGCGGCACTGCGACCGGTGCATGATGGGATACTGGGGCTTCGGCGAGGGCGGCTGCATCCCGTGCCACTGTGCGGGCTCCTGCGATCCACACACGGGCACCTGCACCGAGGGGTGATGCACGCTCACTCGCGCTCCCTTACACACTCGCCTAAGCTCGCCCGCGCTCGCCCGCGCACGGTCACCATCGCTCGCTCACACTCAGCCCGCGCTCGCACACTCACGGTCACCATCGCTCGCTCACACTCAGCCCACGCTCGCACACTCACGGTCACTATCGCTCGCTCACACTCAGCCCACGCTCGCACACTCACGGTCACTATCGCTCGCTCACACTCAGCCCACGCTCGCACACTCACGGTCACTATCGCTCGCTCACGCTCAGCCCACGCTCGCACACTCACGGTCACCATCGCTCGCCCACGCTCAGCCCGCGCTCGCACACTCACGGTCACTATCGCTCGCTCACACTCAGCCCACGCTCGCACACTCACGGTCACTATCGCTCGCTCACACTCAGCCCACGCTCGCACACTCACGGTCACTATCGCTCGCTCACACTCAGCCCACGCTCGCACACTCACGGTCACTATCGCTCGCTCACGCTCAGCCCACGCTCGCACACTCACGGTCACTATCGCTCGCTCACACTCAGCCCGCGCTCGCACACTCATGGTCACCATCGCTCGCCCACGCTCAGCCCGCGCTCGCACACTCACGGTCACTATCGCTCGCTCACGCTCAGCCCACGCTCGCACACTCACGGTCACCATCGCTCGCTCACACTCAGCCCACGCTCGCACACTCACGGTCACTATCGCTCGCCCACGCTCAACTGCGGGACAACTGTCCCAATCTCACCGACCGCCGGATGCGTGTACTGTGCGGCGGCTTGGTTTATGAATCGGAACGACGGGTAGAGGCGGAGCGTGGGGGGGTCGCGCGCGGCCAGAAGCCAGCGGTGAGGAAGCTCCTCGGTCCCGCACAGGAAAGTCAGCGCCAGTTCCTGCTCAAACGAGCGGCGGGCGTCACTCGGTTCCACGAGCAACCCTGAAGCCAAAGGCGGAACGTCCACATTCGGTGCCCTGCGCCTGTTGCGGAAGGCAGAGTTTTTTTTTTTTCAAGTTTATTTATTTTGGTATAGCCCTGGTGAGCCATTCGGCTCTTGAATCGGGGGCAACCGCAACAAACAAAAAAAACAAAAAGACGAGCAAGAAAAACATCTTAAAGTGACTTTGTGTTGACTGTGCAAACAGAAAATCCATGAAAAAAACAGCAAAATATTCCTGAAAAAAAGCACCATACACCAACGCTGTGTGACAAAAAAACCCCAGTGGGATGCAAGTCAAAAAACAACAACAACAACCGCGGGGGGGGGAGGGGAGGGGGTGAGTTCTCGGCCCATTGGGAGACGACGCAGGCACCACTTTGACGTCACCCCCCAATCCCCCCCGCCCCGCCCCGCCCACTCCCCCCCCCCCCCCCCACTCTGCCGCCCGCAGGTTCGACGCAGAGCCCCGCCACGAGGTGCCCGTTGGCGGGCGCATCCCCGACCTCGTCCCCTACTCGCCCAATCGGCACGCGGCCAAGGCAGGCTGGGAGGACGAGCAGCAGGGCTTCTCGGCCGCACGAGATCCGGGTGAGCGACCGGAGGGCGGCGGCGGCGGCGGCGCCGCTGCAAACGCTTCCCGCGGCAGGAAGGGCCTGGCTCCGATTTGCCGTCCCGGGCGCCTTCCCGTGGGCGAACCCCAGGCGGCACGTGCCGGGAGCCGCTGTGCGTCGGGCTGCGTGAGGCCGTATCGAGCCCGGCGCACGGGGAGGGATTTGAAATCTCCGATTGGTGGCGTTGGGACGTGGTGCGTTTGCAGGGAGCGTGAGAGTAAATGGTCGTGCCCGCGGTGCGAGTGATCTCCCTGTCCCCCTGTCGCGCAGGGAAGTGCCTGTGTAAAGACAGGACCATAGCGAGCGTGGAGGAGTTCTGTGCGATGAAATACACGTACGGTAAGAGAGCCGTGACAACACTTGGCCGGACAGTCTGTGTGAGCTACACGGGGGACCTTTGTGTGTGTGTGTGTGTGTACGCGCGTGTGGTAGCGTAGCGGATGGCGTGCTGCGCTACGAACCCAGCGACCCGACTTCGATACCCGCTGATGGCCGTCGCCGGTGATGATTATTTGATCCAGTTCTGGGCCTCCCCTAGGTCCACTCGGTCTCAAATGAGTACCCGGTGCGGTGTCAAAACATCGCCGGGCGTGTTCTTGGCCTCCCACCCCCTCGTGCGCCGTGGCGGCCTTCACAGGTGCCACTCGCTAACGGCTCTTGCCCCAACAGTCTTACCGAGGCTACACGTGTGTTCTCCGTCTCCGCGCAGTGCTGAAGGCGCGCGTGCTCTCGGCGCACGACCGCGGCTCGCACGCCGAGGTGAACGTGAAGGTGGACAAGGTGCTGCGGGGCGCCCGCCGGCGCGGCGACTCCCCGGGCGGCACGCTGTACCCCGAGTCGTGGACCCACCGCGGGTGCACGTGTCCCGTGCTCAACCCGGGTGAGTCCCTCGCCCCCGCCCCGTCTCGCCGTCACGTGTTCCGCCGCCGCTGGCTTCGACGCACAGCGACGCGGACCCTCCGCGGCCCGCGTCGCGAAGCCGCCGCTCGCGCTCCCGGCAGGCCGTGGGCGAGGCGTCGCTCTCCCCCGCCCTCGCCGACGCTCGCGAACGCGCGGCAACGTCCCGACGGGAGCCCGGCCGAGGTGGGGGGGGGGGAGGGAGCGGTCCGGCGACTTGGCACCGCGGCAGCGAGGAGGAATGGGAGCGGGTGGCGGCGGTGCGCGCGGATTAAACATTAATCCGTTCGAAAGCCCGTGAATTCCTCGCCGAGGACGCGGCACAAACGGGCCGAGTGTTGACGCGACTCGCCTGGAGCCCGCCGGTCGGTGGCGGCGGCGGCGGCGGCGGCGGCGGCGGCGGCGGGGGGGGGGAATCTGCCGCTCCGTGGCGGACTGCGCCAAGTTCTGGCACGGCCGTGAAAGTTTCCCGCAACTCTTGAGCACCTCTTGTCCGAGAGGCGCGGAGAGGGGGGGGCGGAGGAGAAGGCGGGGAACGGGGGGGGGGGGGGGGATGGCCGTTGAGTCGAACTCGGTGCGGCTCGCCGGCGCGTGCAGCGCTTAGTCTCGCGCGGAACCGTGGTGACGTTCCTCTCCAGCGAGCCATCCCTCGCGAGTCATCGTGGAGTCGCGGGCTCTCCCAAGGGGCGACGCACTTCACCGGCGAGCGTCGCTCGCCCTCGCCTCGTTTGAAATCTCCCCGCGTCCGCTCCGTCCGAACGGCCGAACGTTTCGGCTCGTTCTCAATAAGGCGTGAGTTACGGCACGCAGGGCGATGCTCCTTTGCACGGCCGAGCAGAGGGGGAGCGAGTCTGCCCGTAAAGAGTCCGGCACTCAGTCCGCGATCGAAACCTCGTGGTCGTCTCGCCGCACGCCTCGCTCCGCCGCCGACGCCGGCACCACGCGGCGCTCTCTCGCGTCTCACTCCCTCCCTCCCTCCCTCTCTGTCCGTTTCGATACAGGCACGGACTATTTAATCGCCGGTCAGGAGGACTTGAAAACCAAGCGGCTGGTCGTCGACCTCAACAGCTACGTCAAGCCGTGGAAGAGCAGCGTGGCCAAGGAGGTGATGGCCTTCCTGAGGGCCGGCTGCCCCAAGGCCTAAGGGCGACCGTGCCGCTCTTGCGGAGGGATTCGCCGTCGACGCCCCGGACGGAATCCTCCCCTTGAAACGTTCCCGAGACCGCGCGTGCGTGCGGCCCGCTGGTTCCGCTCGGCACCGAGGCAACACGCGGTGCCGGGCGGACGCGGGGGTGGGGAGCGCCGAGCCACGGCCGCCGCGGGGGAGTTGCGAGCTCCTGGTGGCGTGAGCCGCTCGTTGGCGGCTCGCTCGGGGCTCGTTAGCGGCTCGCCGGCGTTGGTGCTGCTGGGGGGGGGTGGGGAGCCTGTGGCGTCCCCGCGTGCGCTCGCCGCCACCACCGCCACCGCCGCCGCCTCTCGGCCTCAACTCCAGAGCGCGAAAAGACGGTGGAGAAATCCGCCCGCTTCCCCCCCAACCGCCACGGGAACGTGGAATTACCACCACGGCTGGGTCGGAGCCGCCGATGGAGAACCAGCGCGGTCCTGCGAGACATTTGACCTTGACTTCTCGGCCGCCGCAGCCTCGCTGGACGTCCACGAGAGGCCCCTCCACGGAGGCCCGGGGGTGGGGGGGGGTCACCGCTTGGGACGCCGGGCAGCGGCTGGTCGGGGAGACGGCGAGAAATCACCAGCCCCGGGGCCTCTCGCTCGGGGTGTGAATTTCACCAGAACTATTGGGGCGTCGGTGGAATCTCCCGGGCGATGACGTGTTGGCGAGGATCGCCGGAGGAAGCTCGTGTCTGCGATGAGTTGGAGGAGGAGCAGCCCTTGCCGTGGTGGGAGCGCTGGAACGGTTTCTCAGAGCACTTTGCCCCACTGTGCCGGTCTCATGAAGGCCACGGGGAGCGGTCGATGCTCGTGAACACGAAGGAAGCGTCGCAGCGTGTCGAGAGACACGGGGAGGTGGAGTAGAGACACGGGGGGTGGAGGAGAGAGACACGGGGAGATGGAGTAGAGACACAGGGGGTGGAGTAGAGAGACACTGGGAGGTGGAGTAGAGACACGGGGAGGTGGAGTAGAGACACGGGGAGTGGAGTAGAGAGACACTGGGAGGTGGAGGAGAGAGACACGGGGAGGTGGAGGAGAGACACGGGGGGGTCTAGAGACACGGGGGGGTCGAGTTTTAGAGACATGGGGGGGTCGAGTAGAGAGATACGGGGGGGTGGAGTTGAGAGACACGGGGGGGGGGGTGGAGGAGAGAGACATGGGGAGGTGGAGTGGAGAGACATGGGGGGTGGAGGAGAGAGACACGGGGAGGTGGAGGAGAGAGACACGGGGAGGTGGAGTGGAGTAGAGAGACACGGGGGAGTGAAACGGAGAGACACGGGGGGGGGGGGGGGGGGGGGTGGAGGAGAGGGACACCCCGAGGCACCTCGAGGACGGCACCCCAGGGCCTTCCACCTGCAGGTCCCCTCCCTTGGGGCCACCACTCTCAGCCCTAGCCGGCTACTTGACCTGCGGCTCTCGTTCATCCGGCTCACGGCCAGTGGCCCGGACGGATCACTCCCTCGCCTAAGAGCCCTCTGATGGGGTGGATTCGGATCGATGCCGGTTGATGCGATGTCTCTCCCGTACTCGTCTAACACCGACTGCAACCTTTCACCGATCTCGGCGTCCTCACCTCCCACGCCCATCCCACCACCACCACCACCAACTTCCCCTCTCGCCCCACCACTTCCTGTCACTCGCCCTGTCGCTCGCCCCCTCTACCCCCCCTCCGCCCCCCCCCAGACCCCCAGCCCCCCCGCTGGGGTCTTGGTGGGGCCGGGGTTGCCAGGCTTCTCCCTCGCCACCGGCTCACGGGAGGGGTGGTGGGGGGGGGGGGGGCGTGGTGGTGTGGCCCAGTCAGGGACGCGGCACCAAAGAGACACGAGGAGGAGGGGGAGAGACACGGGGAGGAGGAGAGAGACACGGGGAAGAGACACGGGGAGGAGGAGAGAGACACGGGGAGGAGGAGACACGAGGAAGAGACACGGGGAGGAGGAGAGAGACACGAGGAGGAGGGGGAGAGACACGGGGAGGAGGAGAGAGACACGGGGAGGAGGAGAGAGACACGGGGAGGAGGAGAGAGACACGGGGAGGAGGAGAGAGACACGGGGAGGAGGAGAGAGACACGGGGAGGAGGAGAGAGACACGGGGAGGAGGAAAGAGACACGGAAAGGAGAGACACGGATGCAGCGGCACACCCAGAGGTGGCACCCAGGACATTCTCCCTCATCAGTGGAGATGGGTGCCGCGTGCGTGCCCGCGTGCGTGCGTGCCCGCGTGCGTGCGTGCCCGCGTGCGTGCGTGCCCGCGTGCGTGCGTGCCCGCGTGCGTGCGTGCCCGCGTGCGTGCGTGCCCGCGTGCGTGCGTGCCCGCGTGCGTGCGTGCCCGCGTGCGTGCGTGTGCATGCCCGCGTGTTTCGCTGGGAGACGGCGGTTCCACCGAGCTGTGAGCCTGGCCCGGGACGAGTTTGAAACGGCTCTTCCCTGCGTGGCACACTGGGGAACAAACGGGTTGGTTTTTAAACATCAAGGAAATTTGTTTTTCACTTGATAACAAAAAAAAAAGTATTTTGCCTGCAGGTGTCATTTAAATGTACCCGGGCCGCTGGACTGCCGTGATTTGTGTAATTCAGTGGAACGGCGACGAGCATCGGTTTCTGTTCGGCACGCTCCCTAAAAGCGCAGTCACCCATGCGATTGTGTATGCAACAATCATCAGTTACGTTTGAACGAATCCATCCGCTAAATATGGACAAGTTAAAATGCATTAATCCCAGGGATGCCTCATGTGTGCCCTTTTACGTCACGTTATTATTTGTTGTGTCGATGTTCAATGGGAGGGCTGCATTTCTCTTGTTACGGCTCTCTAAGAATTCTGAACCCTGTGCGCATGGCTACAGAAAGGTCCCCCCGAGTTGCTAAGGCCATTCACCTGTGGTGTTCGCGAGCACCTATTAAGGGCGACGGTGCACAAGTGAGTGACGTTACCGCTGCCACGCCAAGTCGCCTCTTTGTATCCTGTACCCTGAGGTTACCACCACCACATCAGGTGCTCATTCCATGCTAAGTCGACCTCGAGGAAGCTCGCTCCAGATTCAGAAACCAACTACCACCGAGTTGGGGTTCACTGCTGGTTTTACAGGATGTAGTGAAGTGTGCTAACCGCACTGCCGCCGCTCTTTATGTACAAAAAACAAATAACCCCCACACAGCCTTACAGACTGTTGGGGTAAGTGCTGTTAGCAAGCTCCTATTAGGGCTGATGTGGCAAGTAAGTGGGTGATGTGAGCAACAGCATTCACGGGGGGGTGGGGGGCGAGGAGTTATTCCCGAGTGCTATAATCGTCACACGCAGAACGAAGTATCAATTATTAAGGCTGAGTCGACCTAGGAGTGGCCCAGGAGAGTTCATGTACGGCTCGATAGTGAAGATGTGCGTCACGATTGGGAGTGGAACGCAGGTGGCTGGGACTGGAGTTTGGTGTGTGGGCCACTCCGATGCCTCTCCCCGTGCGGCGAATGGTTTCTGAGCTGCTCCTGTGGGGCCTCTCCACCCTCCTTCACGAACCCGAACTGACAAGCGTGGTGTGAAGAAAGGTCAAATGACCCCCCCCCCCCACGTGACTGTCACAGCGTGGGGGTTGGGAGAATGACGGCGTGTCTCGCTGTGTGGATGGGGGGGGGGGCACTCACAGTGCTGCGGTTCGATTGAAACGTTCCGAAATGCGCGTCTCTGCGTTCACAGCCGGAAGAACATCGCTCCTCTTGTCACAGCCTAATTTAACACATTCGAAGTGCACTTAATTTATAGACAAGCAATTTACAAGTCCACACGAAACAGTATTTAATGCTGTTAGGTTATTTAATTGCACGTTAAAAAAAAGTAATTTGCTTAGCCGTCGGGAGGGCCGGAGATAATATTTAAAATGGAGTTTTCAAATACGTTTTGTACATTTGTACGCGCGTCATATTCACACTTGTTTCTCTATAAAGGAACCCCATTCTCCCTCTCTCCGTGACCGAGGCATCTTTTCCTGACCCGCGGCTGGTGGGAGCTGCTGAGTGTACCCTGCGTGCATGTCGCGTGTCCGCTAAACGTTGCGTCCATTGTCACCGTTTGCGAAGTGGGACGCTCTTGGGGGTTGTACGGACGCACATTGAACTTATTTCGCACCGTACGTAGCCAACCGTGCTAAACGCAGGTGCGGGGTGAGGACAAACTAAACCCAACAAAAGCAGTTCTACTGTAAATTCGTTTTCAATATTAGATTTAAAGTGCATAGCTCCAGTGGCTTCCTAATACAAGTGTTGTGTCGTCTGCGCGTGTGGGTGGTGTGTGTCGCGCACACAGTCTGCCGGAGACGAGTGGTCGCAGGAGGCACCCCTCTGCCCTTTTATTGTTGTTGCCGAGCTCACGCCACCACTCGGGTTCCCCTCTCTCCCCCACACATGACCCCGCTGCCACACGTTGCACGGACGGCGTCGACCGGGACGGCCAACTACTGTCCAGCCGCGCAGTGATCGGGCGAAGGCAGCGGCGACAAGACGAGTCCAATCCACGGGAACGGCAGCCCGAGCTCCCCGCTTTCCGCTGCTTTTATTCCCCTCGGCGCGGCTTGGCTCCGCCCTAGCCGCGCCTCCCTTCTCGAACCGTCTGGAAGGTTCCAGGGGCTTCCACACGAGGTCTATCGTGAGCCTTGCCACAGTTCCTCCGCTCTGCTGGCACACCCCCCCGCGTATATGCCGAGTGGCGTGTGCACTAAGTGCCCACTTGCAGTTGCTGCTGTCCAACAGTCGGCGCCATGTCACTACACAAGCATGGAACAACTTTTTTTTATTTTGCTGCTCTAAGAAATGGTGGTCGTCGTCGTGGTGGTGGCCTCGACAAAAAAGAGGCGTGGCCTAAAGAATAATGGGCGGGGCCTAAAAAGGAAAGGGTGCTGAGAAAAGGAGCGGGGCCTATGGGGTAAGGGGGTGTGGCATAATGAGGAAGGAGGTGGGGGTCTATAGAGGAAGGGTCGGGGCCTACAGAGATTGAACTTCGCTGTTGATTCATGCTAATGGCAGACTGGACAAATGCGTGTAGCATGCAGCGACAGAAGCATAGCTTTGGGGCCGTCCATAAATGACGTCACGTACCTAGGGGGAGGGGGGGGGCGGTCAGACGTTTGTGACGCTGTGTAACGAGGGGGCGGGGGGGGTCAAAAATCAGCCAAATCGTGTGACATCATTTATGGACGGCCCCTTTAGTGGCTGCGATGATGCCACAAACCAACTAGTGACATATAAATGCAGAAGTATAGTTTCAAGGTTCAAGTTTAACCAGGTGAGATCTCAAGGGAACAGAGTCAAGTCCTATTCTCAGGAGTTGCCTGATTTAGCAAAATGACAAATTCAACAACAGAAACAACATTTGACAATTATGCAAATAGAAATCGAGGCAAAAGTACCAAGTATAAATGAGATAAGCTGCCGTCCAGGACTCATGCGACTGAACAACTGATATTCTTGGTTCTTTCGGTAAAGTCACGTAGAAGGGAAGCAATAAAATAAAAATATAAAACAATATATTTGTATTATTTTATTGTTCCCTTCTACGTGACTTTACCAAAAGGACCAAGAATATGAATCCCTGCAGTCACGAAAGCTTTAAATCAAAAATTGAACAACTGATGTGAAATATAAAGTAAACGGTGTAAGAATTTGCATTTTGGCCTTTGCCAGGCCTTGTGGGAATATTCGGAGAGAGAGAAAACCCCACAGCCAGACGCTGGCTTCAAACGCTGAAGAGAGCAGTCGAGAGGTTGGGGTTGATGTGGGCCCTGCAGTGCCTTGAGATGTTGGGAGCCGTGTCGCCCCGGTGCTCCGATCTCTCTGCTTCCCCACAATCAAATTCATTTCAATATAACACTCCTAGCTTCTCTCTCCATAATCTCTCTCCCTAATCTCCCCCATGAACACAACTGACGTGCT